GGTGGGTGGGGTTACCACAGGGGTGGTTGTGGGGAGAGCCTTGTGAACCTTCCTCCTGCGCTGCCTCCATTGGGCCAGGTGGCTGCTGCCCTGATGGACCCTCCCCTGTGCCTAATCCTCTCCTCAGCCGAACTCTGCAAGAGGTGACCTTGCCCTGGCTCTGGGGCAGAGCCCAGGGCCAGCCCATGGGTCCAGCTCTGCAGAGCTCCTCTCACCTGAGTCGCAGCCTGGCCTGGCCGTGCCCCTGCGAGTGGGAGGAGCGCTGGGTATGACTGGCCTTGGTGGTGAGAGCTGGGAAAGGTACAGGCAGGTGGGGTGCTTGCTCCCTCCTGGCATTGTTAGCACCCTGTGAGCAGCATGGTGCTTCGGCCCAAGTGAGGTGGTGGGCCCTGAGCAGAACCCCAGGGCGAGAGCAGCTTCCCCTGCCCGTTGGGACCCCAAGAGCGACCGCTGCAGATCAGCTTCTGGCAGAAACAAGCAATTGCCCCTGAGCAGTAGTGATAGGGGAGGTGTTGACACACTTAGGAGTGTTTCTGTCAATGTGTCTGAGCTTTTGACTGTCTCAGGTCCCTGTGTTCTTTCTGTTTTCTATCCCCAACCCATTGTTTCTCCTTCACGTCTTTTGCTTTGTCATCATTTGGCTTGTACTTTCTACCCTATTCAAGCTGTAATGGCAGAGAACATTGGATCTAAATAACCAAGCAAAGTTTATGTACTGAAGAGTAATGGGCCTGTGCTGAGTTTCTTGATTATAATTAATGGATGCCTTACTGTTTAAGTAGTCTTTAGTTTTAGTCCACATTATTTTCCTACCCTGAAGCCAGAAATGATGATCTACATTTCTCTTGTCTTTATGGGGACATAACTTGAAATAAAAGCCTAAAGAAAATGACTTTGCTAGAAACTGTATATGGTGGCAGAGGGGCTCACCTCCCTTCCCATATGAAAAAAGGATGTCTTTAGTCTACAAGACTAAAATGCATTTGAGTTTGGAAGTCTTAAGTTTTAACTTGCAAGGAACCACAAAAAGCCTTAGCTTTTACAATAGTTATTGCCTAAATATTAAACATGACACTTTTCTTCCCTGGAGAAAAAGCCTTGTATCTGTATCCTCATGTAGGTGTTCTTATTTAGTACAGTAGAACCTCAGAGTTATGAACTGACCAGTCTATCGCACACCTCATTTGGAAATGGAAGTACGCAATCGCAGCAGAGACCAAAAAAGCAAATACAGTACAGTACTGTGTTAAACATAAACTAAAAAAATTAAGGGAAATCAGCTTTTTTTCTTCTGCATAGTAAAGTTTCAAAGCTGTACTAAGTCAATGTTCAATTGTAAACTTTTGAAGAAACAAACAACGTTTTGTTCAGAGTTATGAACACAACCTGCATTCCCGAGGTGTTCATAACACAGGTTCTACTGCAAATGCTAGTGCTTCCTAAAACTAGAGGTCCTAAACACTTCCTGCAGCACTAGGGTTACAAAACGCTAAACGCTGGATCATTCTGGACGAATACTTTATCAATAATGTATTGTCATTTCACTGTCTAGAGCACTGAATGGTTCAGAATTCAAATGCAGCATTACCTAGCATCAGATATTAGGCCAAAAAGACCCTTTCTGTAGTGTTTAAGACTGATATGCCCTAGTCACACATTCAGGGATTCCTTGTAAACTGATTTCAAGTTACTTTCAGCTTACCTAAGCTAAGCTGAGTATAACTGCCTCACATTTCTCTGTGGTAACTGTCCTCTAAAGTAACCTATATAGTTTGGTGACAAACAGTGGGCAGTGACTAACCACAGATTATATTCAGCAAGAAAACACTTCTTGTGCCAGTCAGTCAGCCCGCCTGGACTCTAGGGGAGATACCAGCATCCTTTATATGTGAGTGACTCATCCCTTCTTGCAGACTGAATCTCTCAAGGTACAGCTTAATGCCTCCAATGCCCACTCATGCTTTAAAATTAATCACTAAGACTTTCTTTAGTAAAGACCAGTAATTAGCTGGGTCAAATGGGAAGAAACCTATATCTAAGCTAGGGAAATCTCAAAGCCATTTGATTCTTAGCAGGGGCTGCTCCTGACTGTGCTTGGAAGCCTTGTATACTGATAGCACTTAAATTGTTTGTTTTTAAGTTCTGGTCCACTCACTGTATATTCTAAGTGTGTGCCTGTTCCAAAACGGAATGCTCTTGGTACAATATATTAATACTTTTTCTCTTAATTGCAGGATGAAGACACTGTTTGAGGAGATCAAAGCATCAATTAAAAATAATTATGATCCAGACCGCTCATTTTGGAGGCCTGTGCTCCCTTGGGGAGGGGTTTTTACTATCAAAGCTGGCCGGAAAGCTGTATCTTGCACACCACTTTATGTTGAAATAAATCTGAAAAATACTTGCACTATTGATGGATTCTTGATGTTGTTGTATGTCATTCTGCATGAAAATGAACACTTCCCCAAGGAGCTCTCCCTTCATTTAGGTAGAGAGTTTGTCGACTACTTTCTTTACTTAATGGACTCCTATAATTTTACAACAGTGAAGCTGCTTTGGATTTGGGACAAGATGGAGAAGCAACAGTACAAATCTGAAGTTCACAAAGCTTCACTGGAAATCGATTTATTTGGAAATGAGCATGATAACTTTACAAAGAATCTAGAAAGTCTCATGTCTACCATTCAAGAGAGCTACTGTTCAAATTCGAGGTGTCCAACTCGTATGCAGGAAGATCTGCATAGAACAATTAACATAAAGTAAGTTGCTGCACATGCTGGCATGCAACTGTGATAAAACAAACTTCTTCAAGGGGGGCTGTAACTCTGGTTGTTAAGAGATCAGTATTACCTGTCAAAGTGCCTTTATCAGCTAGAATACATCTATGGTTGTATGTATCTGTAGCAAATGTGTACACCCTGTGTACTCAAATCATTCAAATTGCTGTAGAAGACTTAGAAATGAGCCCTTCTGGCCTAGGGTTGGCTGACAGTGATTAAAAAGAATATTGCATTAATTGCAGCAGAGCATGTCTCTAATATTCTACACTGCAGTGCTAAAGTGTAATTGCTTTTGATGCTCACTGATTCAGTGGGAGTGTTGGCTTGGAGAGCTGTTTAACAAATACTGCTGGGTTGGGCTTTCTTCCCTCTCTGCTTGGAGCATGTGATATGAAAATTGCTCTCTCGCATTTGTAGCTGTTGACTTATTGTGACTAAGAACTCTCCAGAGGTGCCTGTCATTCATGCTGGGTCCTCGTACTACAGATTAACACTTGCAAAATAAATTACGTGCCTAAAATGGATTGTTTGTTTCACAGTAAAGAATAAATGTAGAACGGCAACAGTACTGTTTTGTCCTGTCCCAATGCTAAAACTAGTAAATGTGTCCCCAGTAGCTAGGTGAAGTTGACCTTTGCAGTTATACCTAGAAATTAACAGAGGGAGGTTCAAATGGACAAAAGCAGTAGGGAGAGTGAGTCTCAAAGTTGAGCATCCTTCACAGAAAAATTGCTGTTGGCAGCTCCATCTCTCAAATGGAGGGGCTCTAGCACCTCTGATTGGAACTGGGGCAATAGGTTGCTAGGGGAGAGGTACTTTTTCAGGTAACAAGTTCTCAAACCACTGAGGATACCTTCAGATGCTGGAGTACACCTTTACCCTGATATAACGCTGTCCTCGGGAGCCAAAAAAATCTTACTGCATTATAGGTGAAACCTCATTATATCAGACTTGCTTTGATCTGCTGGAGTGCACAGCCCCACCCCCCCGGAGCACTGCTTTACTGCATTATATCTGAATTTGTTATATCGGGTCGCGTTATATCGGGGTAGAGGTGTAATGTGCTTCTATCTTGAAACTCTAAATTACATTATTAAGCAAGTTGTTGCCTTCTCTACTTCAGTTTTAGTAGTCTCAACTTGTACCCAAGTCCAGAGTGTATTACACTAAAACATATACAAAGTCTGACGAGGGGGGCTAAGAATTGAGTCTTGGAGAAGACGCAGGAAGGCCTTCATTTCTTAATGAAGTACATTAGGCCAAAACACACATCTCTGGGGTTATGAATTCTGTTGACCTGCTCAGAATGATCACTGAAAGAGCTAGAAATGTAGTTTTACTACCTGACTCTCAAATCTGTCTAGCAGAAACTTTGAGAGCTCTTGCTGCATCAGTGGTACCAGTATGAATCATGATCAGTGGTTCTTCACCCTCCTCTGCTGGAATCCTGTCTACTTCTGCCATGAGGTTTTTATACTAGCAGCTGATGCAGATGAGTTAAAGTTACAACTGCAGCATATTGACCACATGGTAAGGCACAGGGCTCTCTGCTATAACTTCTCTCTTGCAGATTGTGGCGTTTGCTTTCATGGGCTTGAAAGTCTGTTGGACTTGGATACTTCAGGTTTTGAATTTTTACCCTTTCACTGCAGGCATTGTGCATCAATGAAAGCATTTTTCCAACTTGTAGTGGTCGATTTCTTAGCTGGTCAGGTCATATTGCACCCACTTACTCTGCTTAATGGTGACCCAGATGCTATGTAACTGTCCTGTCCTTAAATTACAGCGCTGTACCCTCAAGATGTTAATTTCATACAGCAATAAGTGTAGCAATTAAGGCTTTGTTTCCACCATTCTTTGTCTGATTTAATAGTTGGATGAAAAATCACATGCAAATAACAGATGCTGTAAACTTTTTTGAGGTAGAAGACAAATTTGTCTAATCCCCTCATGCCAAGTATGAGCTTTTAATGACTGGGTCTGTGCTCTGAGGCAATAGTAGTTTAGGTTTAATACCTTCCATACGAGAGACTTTCAGCTGCTTGCTATTTTAAAGTTGACTCTTTAACTGAACTCTTACAACATTAGTGCTGCAACCTAGGAGACCACTACCTTCTAAATATACACTGCTTCTCCAGCGAGGCATGCCAGCTAACCAATGAAGCCGTTCTGACTGGGTTGAAGGTAGTTCTCTCATACTGTTTTTAAAAAACAAAAAACCTCTGTGCTCAATGGTTGTACTGTGAAAATGAACATGGTGCTGAAGAGCATGTAAAGATACCTTTTAGGTCTATGTTTGAAATATGTGATAAATCAACCAAGCACCAGCCCTCCTGTCTATACTCTGTTCTATATTTCATACATTTCGTCTGAGTAAGATATTTGGACTACCTGCCTCTACACAAACACCAGGGAAAGGAAGGTCTGATGGACACTCTTGTGGGTGATCCTAGAGTACAGAATAGGACAGAGCCTTTTGGCTTTATCGTGCAGTACATGTCACTGTTACGATACATTTGTTCATGGCAAGATGAGATCAGGTTTAGCTGACTGCATAGCTGAAAGACTTGAATCTCAACAGCAGAGTTCTCAATATGGCAGTCATGTTCAGGAGAAGTTGGTTTGGCGTTTAACTCAAACATTGAAAACATTTATTTGCTCTAAAGTAGCTAGGTTCTTGGACAAGAAACAGCATTCTAAAGACTCTTTTTCACGGGATGATTGATTTTTGTTTGTATTGAGTTTAGGGATTGCTCTTTATGTCATTGTGGTTAAATGATTTTTATACTGTGCAAGTACAGAATAAATCTGATCAAATGTCCCTAACTATTTCAGTCCTCCCCAAGAAATTCCTCATGGAGACTTGATTCAGCGGGCAGTAGATGAATTATTCTGTTCCAAGATTGAGCTGTGTGAACAGTATGGGTAAGTGCATAATAGATATGAACATGTGTATTTGCTATCACAGAGGGTGCATGGTCTGTTAGCCTGTTTGCACTTGCTCACTGCTAAACAAAACTTTTCCCTAGGATTGAAATGTTCAGTGCTTGGTCTCAGCCCAAAGATGACACTGGACTCCTCAGACTGCACACATTTTTCCATGGGTTCCTGCAGGGGAGCTGAACCAGCAGCTATATCCACACCTGCTGCTCCTGCCTCCCAAACACGCTGATCTGTGTGGCTTCCCCTCCATATCTCCCTGTACAACATAGTGGGCAGAACAGTCCGGAGAGGGGGTGAGGAGAAACAACGGTGCTATAAGGATTAGTTGGCCAAGGAGAATCTGAGGCTCTGGATCTGAGAGGCTTGTGTGGGAGGGGAAAATCCAGGGGCAACATCCGGGGGAAATGTTTGGACTAAGTTTGGGGGAGGGAAGAGAGGCTAGGAGATTGCAGGATAGGAAGAGCAAAACAGACAATGGGGGATTGAGTCAGCAGAATGCTAGAGGCATTGTCCTATTCTTACAACTGGGTTCAGCTACATGGATCCAAGAGCCCAGGATGGGGTGGGATGTGGGTTAGGAGGAAGCATGGCAAACCAGCTTCAGAACAGTGTTCTCGGAGTGGGTGTTCTAGCGTGCACTCGGCACCAGAGTGCCTCCTGTGGCAAAACCAGACATCTCAGGCCAGTCACTTGCCAGAATTATCTGGGTATATCTTAATCATTTCCCTGTCAGTGGGGAGGCCTCAAGCACTGGTGTCCCTTGGTTCCTCTTGTTCTCTGCCTGCAGCATGTAATAGGCTAGCTTCCTGTGGGCTGTGAGACTTGAGTCTAATTTTGGTTGTTGGGTTTAGTGTACGGGTGCTGGTGGCCTGCGATGTACAGAAGATCGGACTAGATGAGCTGGTGATTCCTTCTGGCCTTAAAGTCTATAATTCTGCCTCAGTTTCCCTCCTCTGCTAGACCAGTCGCCATCTAGCCACTTGATTCTTTGTTACGACCTCAGTGCTCTGGTCAAGTTAGTAGTAGTCCTGTCCCCTCTGAGTGTTAGAGTCCTATATCTCAGGTGGCCCATTGCCCTAGATGAGGGGAGCTCAGTCCTTGGCCTCTCTGAGCATGGCCCACTTGTTGAAGGCCTTACAAAGTCCTCTTGCTGGGTTTGGCAGGAGAAGCGAGGCCTGCACACTCCTCGGGGTTCCAGGCCAGGGACGGCATGAAGTGGTTGGCACTGCTCTCTCAGCCCCTCTCTGGCCTGTTCTCTGACTCAGAGGCCCAGTAGGGGTCTTCTCTTCTAGAGGATCTGGTTTCCTGAGCAGTTTCTCCCCAGTGTGTTGCTGTAAGCACCTGCTCTCAGTGGCTTCTCAGTCTCTAGCAGCTGCTGGGCTGGGTTTCAAACCATCCTTCTGATTTCCATCCTCAAGATGAGTCTCTTTTCCTCCCCTGACTCCTGGAGCTGGGGTTTCAGACAGTCCCTCTCTGTCTGTCCCCTTAAGGCAGTCACTCCTTCAGACAGGAGTCCCCTCAACTCTCCTCCCGGATCTGGGACTATGGTTCAGGTTAGTAATACCCTCCCTGAAACAGGAGATAACACAGCCACCTCCCCCTGCCCTCCACACAGCCGCTCCTGGAGCTAGGGTTATAACTTCGGCCAGCTGTGGAGCCTTAGGCACCTTCTTTCAGCTCGCTCTTATCCCCCGTTAGTCCCCAGGCTCCAAGGGCTTAGCAGGCCGGTCGTGTCCTGCTGATGACTCCCTTGTTATGAAGGAAGAGGCAGCATAGAAACTGGTCCCCCTGCTAAAGGTCCTGCCCGTTGGCTGGGAGAGAGCAGAACCTTGCCCTGCCCACTCTGCAAGGCTTCTGGGCCCAGGCCTGTGATGAAACAATAATGGGGATTTCCTCCCAACCACTACTTATTCACGGGATCGTGTCCTCTCTCCCAGTATCTCTGAGGCCTTTGCACATCCAACCTCCCAAAAAATCTTAAAGGCCATGATGTGATGGTGGGGTGCTGACCCCTCACACCACCACCTTTTAGGGGACAGATCACCCCAGTGCAGGAGGTCTTTGTCATTGTAATGCTTGAGTCCCTTTGTAGCCCCAGGCCACAGTCCTCCCTTGTCTCCCTCCACTGAGACACCTCCAATTTGGGGTAGTGTCTGCTGTGTATTTGGCATACATCACTGCTGGCCAGTACCAGAGGCCCATTTAAAAATCCCAGCTAAAGGGGGTAACTAGCAACAGTGAAGTATCTGGGCTCCTGCTGCACCAAGTGCCACCATTGCATTTAACAGCAGTATCGCCTCAGATTACCAAAAAGAGACGCTCTGGACCCTTATAATAGCATTTGCAAAGGTGCCTAAGGTAGTAAGGTGCCCAGCTCCTGCTGACTTTCAGTGAGATGTGGCACCTCGTTCCCCAGGGCACCTGAAAATCCCACCACCAGAGGACAGCTTGGTTCAAGCAGTAAGTTGGTAAGCAAATAGTAAACTGGCTAGTGTCCTCTAAATGTACTGTGAATTATTGTTGCTCCTTGGCCTGAGCCGTTAGCCATTCTTCTGGACATAGCTGGGTTGTTTCTCTTAGGAGAGAGTGTTGACATGAGTTTGGTATCTTTGGTGCTGTCTTTATTCACAAAGAATGTACCCAAAGTCCTGTTTTCCTGAGCAGAGCGGGAACAAACAGCCACCAATTTTCTTGCTCACTATTTCCAAGGCTGCCTCTCCATCCAGTCTTGTGCGCAAAGGAGCTCTGTCTCTGTACCCTCCGAGCCATGCTCGCAACTGCTTCGCTGTGTCAGAGGCAGAAAGCCAATCAGTCCCCTGGGAAACTCCTTGGACCGCATGAAGTGGCTGCTGATTGGCCTTTTGTGTGTCCCAGTGCTTTGGGCAGCAGCTTCTATTGGGTCCAGTTGTCATACTCCATAAAGGAGGTGAGTTGCTGCTTCCCTGTAGCCTGAATGCAGGATAGCCAGCAGCCCATCAGCTTTCACAGGTCTGTGATTGGCTGTGGATCAAAGATACACATGATGACAGCCATTAACACCTTCCTGCATAAAATAAACAAACCAAATTCTAATACAAGACACAACCTGCCCTAATGAAGTGTAAACCTTGTCTGGATGTGAAATAAAACCTGCTTAATTGTACTGCTTGCCCAGTGAAATAATTCCATCTCTGCTTCTCTACTTGCAGATGTAATGGGTTAAGAGAATTCACCCAGAGAGTTTTCTGCCATGGGGCACCGCCTTTTGTTGTTTTAAATATGCAGCAATGGAAGCCAGAAGAACTGGCATATGTACCATATCATTTGGATTTATCTGATCACAAGTAAGTATTTTAAAACAAGGCAAACGGCTTCTCTTCACTTCATGTTTTCAGGGGGAGTCCAATAATCCTTTTGAATAATCTGTAAAGGAAAGGGGTTTTTTTAGAGTCCGTAGTCATGAAGCAGTATGGACAGGTTTCAGAGTCGCAGCCGTGTTAGTCTGTATCTGCAAAAAGAACAGGAGCACTTGTGGCACCTGAGAGACTAACACATTTATTTGAGCATAAACCCATGAAAGCTTATGCTCAAATAAACGTGTTAGTCTCTAAGGTGCCACAAGTACTCCGGTTCTTTGTGCAGTATGGACAGTCATGCTCACTGTCAGTTTCTGCTAACTTCTTCTTGTCAAAATCCCTTTAGAACAATTGTTGGGTTTCAGAACCAGCCTTCCTATTTTCTATTAATTATCGAAAATACATCTAACTGCAGATATTTCAATGCATTATTACAGGACGTAGCATTTTGATATACAGGGTTCTAGCTGAGACCCAGTTAAGCATCAGAGAACTTTGAATCCAAATTTTACTTCCTTAGCATGCCTGACGAGGAGAAAGTGAAGGGTGATGTGACTGTCAGAGGAGGAAGGAAGGAGACTGAGCTCCCCCTCCCTATTTACCCATAAGATTCACAACAGAGCCCCCAGGTAGGCCCCATTTCCTGCCTTCAGATGTGGGGAGAGCTCAGAAGAGTAGAGAACAGGTGGAAGTAAGACAGGGGTTACTAGCTAACACTACAGGGATAGACTGAGGGCCTCAGCCCCCCACCCCCACCCCCCACTACTGTGTGTCTGTAGTGGTGGAAGGGGGAGGGAGAGGCCCATTGTACACACAGTGAAAGGATGTGCTCTCACCCCTCCTTGATGATGTGCTAGCAGGAGATAAGCGCTCAGATTCCTAGCAAAGCAGCAGCATATCTGGCTTCCCTTCCCGGAGGATTGTGAAGAGTGGTGGAGCTGTGGGCTGGGCCACCCCCCAAAGGCACTGTTGACACAGCAGGATGGGACTAGCTTTCCTCCTCTTCCATTAGCAGCTAAGGGGTGATCCATGCCCTCCATCCCTCCCCAGAAGACTGCAAGAGTCAGTTGAACTGTGGGCTGTTGCTCCTCCCCCTCTTGCCCCCTGAACTCACTGGCAATGCAGTAGTGGGGGACCTTGGATCCTGGAGGATCACAGAGCAGCAGCTGTGCCGATTAGCGCCTCATCCCCTTCCCCCTCTGTGGAAGTTGTAGCAAGTGGTGCGAGCAGGCCGGGGATAGGGATTGCGATACTGCTGAGGGCAGTGGAAGGGATAGGTGTTTTACCCCTGAGCTGTGACGAGCATAGGCAGTGGTGAAAGGAGCAGAGGGTGTTCTTCTCCCTGGCCTTGTATAAGGTTGGGTCCAGCTAGAGTTGAGTGCAGCACAGAGGGGAATAGCAGCGGGCCTTGCAGTTTCTCTATCTCAAACACTGGTGATGGATGGTCACTGGACAAAAACCACAACGAAGGGGGAACAGGGCAACATGCAAACCAAGGAATCTGAGTCCAGAGGAGAATCCGTGGATATGGGGATGACTAGTACAATAGTGGCACAGATTAGTTCCAGTTTAGGTGTGGTGCTGACAACCTATTTCAGCAAGTTGGAAGAAAAATTAACACACAGTGGCTATCCTAATGAACCAGCAGCAGCCATTAGACATGGACTTAAGACTGATCAGCATTGAGGTGGACATGCAGGAGTGGCAGCCCAAGAGTCTCAAGTCAAAGAATTGACACAAACTGGAAGATCTGAAAAATAGGGGCAGCAAGAAAAGTATGAGTATTCTAGGACTGCTGGAGAGGGCTGGAGGAAAATTCATAGTCTTGTGAAATATGGATCCCCAAAGCTCTGATTCTGACAGTCAAATCAAGATCGAAAGGGCACACTGGATCAGGATCCTGGCACACAACAGGAATTCAGCTAGACCACACTGTCATAGTACATTTATATAGTGCGAGACCAGGTTTCAATTCTTGAGCCAGCCAGCTCTTCGTAGTGTGTGTGTGTGTGTGTGTGTGTGCAATGTGCCTCAGGTGGCATGTGACCAGGATTCATCACCAAATTTGGTCTGCTGGTTGGTGAGCAAAGAGCAACCATGTATCCTTCTATCAAGATTGTTCCATAGCTGTACAGAGGAAAAGGGTGAATTTATGAAAATCTGCAAGCAGCTTCATGGCGGAGGGAAAACAACTTTACAGATTCCTGGCAATCCTAAAATTAAAAAATATATAAAAATAAATGGTAGTTAATCTTTCTACATGTTTGAGGTGGCCCAGAAGATCCTAACCACAGTACTGGAACCAAATGTAGTAGACCAAGAAATAGCAAATGATTAGATTCAAGTTGACAGAACAAGGAGTAATGGTCTCAAGTTGCAGTGGGGGAGGTCTAGGTTGGATATTAGGAAACACTATTTCACTAGGAGGGTGGTGAAGCACTGGAATGGGTTCCCTAGGGACGTGGTGGAATCTCCTTCCTTAGAGGTTTTTAAGGCCCGGCTTGACAAAGCCCTGGCTGGGATGATTTAGTTGGGAATTGGCCCTGCTTTGAGCAGGGGGTTGGACTAGATGACCTCCTGAGGTCTCTTCCAACCCTGATATTCTAAGTTAAGTGTCTCAATTGCAAACTTTCTAACCCCCAGGAAGAGGAATTTTCTACTATAATAGATGTAAAATTTAAGAAAATGCACGCTAAGCTTAATCAGTGTATAGATATTGTGTATTTCCTTGATTAGCAAAACAGTACCAACTTTAGTGGCAAATCAGCCTGTTTTATTATAACAATGACTCAACCTTGATGAAAATCAAAAGTACAAATAATACGATTAAAAATCTGATTTAAAACAAGGGTTCTTGCTTCATGATTTAAATTGGAAATTTAAATCAATCCACCCTGCTTGAATGTAATATAATACAATATAGAACATGTCATGTTATAAGAAAAATGCTGTCTCATGGGCAGAAGTTCATACAATTGTTTGTTAGGAAAGTTAAGAATTTCCAACAAATAATGGTACAGGAGTTAGTGTATGGTTTTTGGTTATGTTATAAGTAGGGATCATAGGGGATGTGGGTGTAGGGAAGCTCTCAAGCAAATACTGTATAGATATAAGATCCAGGGGTTATGGATCGAGGAAGCTGGGGTATTGGTAAAGACAATGCTCCCTATGTTGAGAAATGGTTAAAGAATCAGGAACAGTCTGGTTCGCCTGGAATGTTAGGGGATTAAACCTTCCAATAAAACAATACCAAATGACTGCTTTTAAAAAAGCTAGTGGTGGGACTGCTTCAGAAAACTTAACCTAAAAGAATTAAACATAAAGGGAAGGGGCATCCTATAGGTATGGGCCATCTCTCTGCTCCCATACGAGAGTGGTGTATATACTAAGTAAAGAAGGAGTGTGGGAATGTAAGAGGATTAAAACAGGTTCAGGTGGTGTATTGAGGGGTAAATGTATTACATGATGTAGCATACCCCAAATGAGGAGGCTACTCCCTTCTTCAGTAACACTTGAATTATTGCAATAGTTCAGAAGTCATGGGCAATTAGGATTGCCAGTTTTGATTGGACGTATCCATGGAGGTTTCATCACATGACAATCTTTAATTAAAGATTCATCTTCCATTCCTGGAGACAGCAGGACAATCCTGGAGGGTTGGTAACCCTGTGTGCAATAGGGGCATGCAACTAACTCTTGTCTTAACCCAATGGAGATAGATTACCAAGTAGGCAATAAGCTCCATTTTTAAAAAAACAAAAAAAATCAAATAGCATCACCATGATATAAAGAACAGGACATGATGAATGTTTGGGGGTTTTACATCTTCATGGACTTTACTTTTGCTTCTGAAATTGCCATAACATGCTAAATAGATTTAATGAAATCTTTAAACGTTAATGAAGTTATAATCCTTAGTGTTAGAATTAGAATCTCTCTCTTTAACCATGTGTCTGTCTCTGTGAAAAGAAAGCACAACTCAGAAAGAAGCTGGAGTTTTAGAAATCTATTGTTAAAAGACAAATATTTTGTGAATAAAATGCAAAACTGTTGATTACATTGAAGGAAAATCCCATATAGGATCCGTCCTGGGGAGTACTTTAAAGCAGTAATAAGGGGACAGTTAGTGGAAAAAGAAAGAGACAGACAAAAACCAACCAAAGAAAAACCAGGCTGCTTTATAGGAGCAAAGCGACAGTTTGCAGAAGCAACCGAATATGACTAATAGTGCAGCGTTAGAGCATGAGCTTTAAAACTAGCATTAGAAACTCTGATAACAGAGAAACCCAGCCTGCTCTCCTGTGTGCCAAGCAAATGTTCTCTCACCGGGGTGCGAGTCAGGCAGATTGCTAGCCAGACCCATCTCTAATAGAAGAGACAGAACTAACTGCTGCTCGGTCATAGTCCTGCTGAGAGTTTCTAGCGTGCATAGCTGTCACAGCACCACCTACTCAGGCTACTTGTGGGCTAGCCACTCCTCAGTTTCCCCTCACTCAGGTGGGATCTCATGACCCTCCCAGGCAGGATTTACTGCCACACCCAAGTCTTTTTCTAGCCAGTTTTATTTAAATATAAAAATTAGACAAAACATAAAAAAACAACAGAAGTTCTTCTGCTGACCCTGGGCTACAGTGCCTGAAGACTTTTCTTCTCAGTGCTGAAAAGAGAATACCTGCTACACTACCCTACCTCTCCTCCTGTCCTTATGCTTCAGGGCCTGCCGCAGAAGCACATCTCCTCTCAACTGAGTTTTCTCAGCCCTGATCCCTTGCCAGCTAGCTCTGATAATTGAACAGGGCTGGCTGGCTTCAGGCCCTGAAGAAGCAGGCAACCCTCTTAGTGTATAGCAAACTATAATCTGAGTTTTGGAGTAAGCATCACTTGAAGGCCACGTGGGACCAAAGCACTAACTCTTTCCCCCATGCCTGTATTAAAATGCCATGCTGAATGGAGTCATAGATATTAGACTATCCCATTTCTATTAGCTCATTCATTCCTTCTTCCCTGCCAATGCACAACTTTCCTCTACCACATAATTCAGCAGCAACACACTCCAGATTGATTTTGAAAGTTATTTTAATGCTTTTTCTTATACTAATTTGGAGTGAAGGGGACAGAAAATAAGCCTTTTCTGAAGGGCAGACACGTCATATGATCTTATCTTGCTCCAGACTGTCACTCTTGCTCCAGGAATTGCTCAAATGGACATCAGGCACCTGGGGCAAGGAAACAGCTCACTTAGAGGAGTCAAGGGCAACGCTGGCTCCTCTCTGCAACAACTGTTTATAAGACAACTAAATGCTTGCCATCGACAGTAGCATTCTTCTTGAGCATTTACTGCCAGAAAGAGCATGTTTGTGATGGTCACATCTCTGTTTGCCTTAATTTGCAGGTACTTATTGGAAGGTGCCACGTTGTTTAATAAAGAGGAGCATCATTATTCTGCCGCTTTCCAGATTGATGGGTATTGGATACACTATGATGGCCTCAGAAATGTCAACTTAATTTTATTAAATAAACCCCCAGAATTTCTTCTTTTGTCATCTCTAGTTTATATTAGAGCAGCAGAGAATAAATGACATATCTAGACTATGGATACAAAATTAAATCACGTTCCCTTCTCTGCCACCAATGCTGGCCCATCCCAAATGGAGGTCTATATTTTATGTATACTTGGTATCCAAGAAAAGAGTAGAACTACAGTAGTTCTGGTATTGTATCATCCAATGCTTACTATAGGTAAAAATTTGAAATTGGAAACACTATGCAATTTTTTAAAACATTTATTGGGCTATTTTTATACAGGCAAATTTTTATGCTACAATAAAAAAGCAAAAAAACCAAGAATGGTTGTATCCTTTGTTTCTTTATTAATATTTCAAAGTTTACATGATCACATATGATTTTTCTATCATAATGCACAAACAAGGCAGGTAGAATTAAGGTTGCACAGACCGCCTTACTTCTGGCATTTCATGAGTACTTGACTTCATGGCCTAAAAACATTTTAACATAGGAAATAACATTTAAAAAAACCCTAAGTAAACCTAAGTTCTTACAACAGAAATCAATATCCGTTATTGAATGCCAATTCTACCTGTCGTCAGTAGCATCTGAGCCCTGTAGAGCAACATGCATCACTCACTGAAAGGGTGGATTCTATATGCATGAGTAGCCCCATTTTACAGACAGCATGGCTGAGCAGTTAAATTTGACAGATTATTTCTGAACCATAGTGTGGCTAAATGATTGAGTGGGATCTGCCATATGAGAGATCCCAGCTTGTGTAACCTCTCAGTGGGGTAGGACTCTTGCTTAAAAAAAATAAACTCTTTGAAAGGTTACTGAATTATTAACCTTTCAGTATGAGTGAGACTTGAACGGCTGGTTCCTTGCCCAGTGCACCATGTTATATACCAGAAGGTGTGCTGATGTAGGGAGTGGGATCTATTTTGCCTGACTGGGGCCGGCGGACGTGCACAAAGAAACAGAGCAGTGCATGTGCCACGCTAAACTCAATGTTCACTGTTTTCTGGCAGCATGCCAAAAATGAGAAGTTAGCAAAATCCAGAGGACATGGTGATTTCTAATAGCGAATAACTTAGCCAGTAAAAAGTAGTTTGTGGCAAAAGGACTAGCTCTCTGCCAAAATGTAAAGTCCTATTGCAAATCATGGAATTCTTGAAAAAAATGTCAGTAAATCACATAGTATAGCACAAATGTTGAGGGACACTGTACATAAAACCTCAGGTTTTGCACTGTCCTCTTTGAATATGCTGATGAAAAAGCTATAAGAGAATTAAGTGGCCTTTGCAAAATTTTATCTATTCCTCTCCACAGTGTCTGACTTAGACTCTGTACTTTGCTCTTTATTGGGAAGTCAGTAAAAGTAACAGCTAGATCATTTCAAAACCAAACCAATGTAAGCCTCCAAAACAGATTTTCCAGGTAGATGCAAAATTCTCAAACAACCAAACACTAAGGCCTGGTCTACACTACAAGTTTAGGGCGAATTTAGCAGCGTTAAATCGAATTAAGCCTGGACACGTCCACACGACGAAGCCCTTTTTTTCGACTTAAAGGGCCCTTTAAACCGGTTTCTTTACTCCACCTCCGACGAGGGGATTAGCGCTAAAATCGGCCTTGGGGTAGTGTGGACGGAATTTGACGTTATTGTCCTCCGGGAGCTATCCCACAGTGCTTCATTGTGACCGCTCTGGACAGCACTCTCAACTCAGATGCACTGACCAGGTAGACAGGAAAAGCCCCGCGAACTTTGAATTTCATTTCCTGTTTGCCCAGCGTGGAGAGCACAGGTGACCACGCAGAGCTCATCAGCACAGGTAACCATGATGGAGTCCCAGGATCGCAAAAGAGCTCCAGCATGGACAGAACGGGAGGTACAGGATCTGCTCGCCATATGGGGAGATGAATCAGTGCTAGCTGAACTCCATAGCAGTAAACGAAATGGCAAAATATTAGAAAAAGTCTCAAAGGCCATGAAGGACAGAGGCCATAACAGGGACACACAGCAGTGCCGCATGAAAATTAAGGAGCTAAGGCAAGCCTACCACAAAGCCAGAGAGGCAAACGGAAGGTCTGGGGCAGAGCCGCAAACATGCCGCTTCTACGTGGAGCTGTATGTCATGCTAGGGGGTGCAGCCACCACTACCCCAACCATGTGCTTTGACTCCATCAATGGAAAATCACGCAACAGGGAAGCGGGTTCGGGGTACGAGGAAGATGATGATGATGAAGACAATGAAGATAGCTCACAGCAAGGAAGCGGAGAAACCGGTTTCCCCAACAGCCAGGATATGTTTATCACCCTGGACCTGGAACCAGTAACCCCCGAACTCACCCAAGGCGTGCTCCCAGACCCTGAGGGCACACAAGGGACCTCTGGTGAGTGTACCTTTGTAAATATTACACATGGTTTAAAAGCAAGCGTGTTGCATGATTAATGATTAATTTGCCCTGGCAATCGCGGCCAGTACAGCTACTGGAAAAGTCTGTTAACGTGTATGGGGATGGAGCGGAAATCCTCAGGGGACATCTCCAGAAAGCTCTCCTTCATATACTCCCAAAGCCTTTGCAAAAGGTTTCTGGGGAGGGCTGCCTTATCCCGTCCGCCATGGTAGGACACTTTACCACGCCAGGCCAGTAACACGTAGTCTGGAATCATTGCATAACAAAGCATGGCAGCGTATGGTCCCGGTGTTTGCTGGCATGCAGACAACATCCATTCCTTATCTACCTTTGTTATCCTCAGAAGAGTGATATCATTCACAGTCACCTGGTTGAAATGGGGTGATTTTATTAAGGGGACATTCAGAGGTGCCCGTTCCTGCTCAGCTGAACAGAAATGTTCCCCGCTGTTAGCCACGCGGTAGGGAGGAGGGGTGAAGTGATCATCCCAGAGAATTGTGTGTGTGTGTGGGGGGGTAGTTGGGTTTGTGCTGCATGTTAACCCGGAAACCGCAGCCCCTCCTTTTACATTGCAAACCCATTTTAAATGGCCAACCCAATGGGTGCTTGGTATGGGAAATGAGGGCGCTACTGTTTGAAACCATTCCCACATGTTAAGAAGGTTAAAAAAGCCAAAAGACTGTGGCTTACCATGGCTGCCTGCAAGCCGAATTCTGTTGCCTGGCACTGCGTGAGTGATCTCTCTCACCAAACCGGCAGGCCCTCAATATAAGAGGAAAAATGCGACCTTGTAACGAAAGCACATGTGCTGTGTAATGTGAACAGCAAAATTTAACGTGAAAGAGTGTACCCATTGTTCTCTAAAATGTGTCTTTTTTAACCACCTCTCCCTTCTCCTCCACCAGCTGCAAATGTTTCTCCTTCACAGAGGCTAGTGAAGATTAGAAGGAGAAAACGGCGGACTCGGGATATGTTCTCGGAGCTCTAGATGTCCTCCCACGCTGACAGAGCACAGCAGAATGCGTGGAGGCAGTCAATGTCAGAGTGCAAAAAAGCACAATATGAACGAGAGGAGAGGTGGCGGGCTGAATCGCGGGCTGAAGAGAGCAAGTGGCGGGCTGAAGAGGATAGGTGGCGTCAGCTTGTTGACAGAAGGCAAGAGTCGATGCTCCGGCTGCTGGAGCATCAAACTGAAATGCTCCAGCGTATGGTTGAGCTGCAGGAAAGGCAGCAGGAGCAGAGACCGCCGCTACAGCCCCTGTGTAACCAACAGCCCTCCTCTCCAAGTTCCATAGCCTCCTCACCCAGACGTCCAAGAACGCGGTGGGGGGGCCTCCGGCCACCCAGTCACTCCACCCCAGATGACTGCCCGAGCATCAGAAGGCTGGCCTTCAATAAGTGTTAAAGTTTTAAACCGCAGTGTGTCCTTTTCCTTCCCTCCTCCCCCACCCCTCCTGGGCTACCTTGGCAGTTATCCCCCTAGTTGTGTGATGAATTAATAAAGATTCACGACTGACCGGTAGCTGTCTGGCATTGCAAGCTTCCACAGGGCTATCGCCGCTCGCTTCTCAACTGTGAGGGCTGCTCTCATCCTGGTATTCTGGCACTTCAGGGCAGGGGAAAGCAAGTCACAAAGTTCCATGAAAGTGCCCTTACGCATGCGAAAGTTTTGCAGCCACTGGGAATCGTCCCACACCTACAACATGATGCGGTCCCACCAGTCTGTGCTTGTTTCCCGGGCCCAGAATCGGCGTTCCACGCCATGAACCTGCCCCAGTAACATCATGATTTGCACATTGCTGGGGCCTGTACTTTGTGAGAGGTCTATGTCCATGTCAATTTCCTCATCACTCTCGTCACCGCGCTGCAATCGCCTCCTCGCCTGGTTTTGCTTTGGCATGTTCTGGCTCTGCATATACTTCAGGACAATGCGCGTGGTGTTCATAGTGTTCATAATTGCCGCGGTGATCTGAGCGGGCTCCATGATCCCAGTGCTATGGCGTCTGGGCTGAAAAAAGGCACAAAACTATTGTCTGATGGAGGGAGGGAGGGAGGGGTGACGACATGGCTTACAGGGAATTAAAATCAACAAAGGTGGCTGTGCATCAGGGAGAAACACAAACAACTGTCACACAGAATGGCCCCCCCCAAAGATTGAACTCAAAACCCTGGGTTTAGCAGGCCGTTGATTTCACGGAGGGAGGGGGAAGCAAATGAATACAGAACAAATCTGGTCCATCTATTTTTTACATCTTAAGCTGGCAGCAGACGGTGCAGCATGACTGATAGCCATCGGCATCTTCTGGGTGCTTGGCAGAAAATGCTGTATTACGACTGCTAGCCATCATCGTCAAGACAGTTCAATAGGACTGCCGGCAGGACGGAGTCTCCAGGAGACAAAACATGTCTGCCCAGGTGCCTCTAACCGAACTCACTGAGGACTACGACGACGACGGATACCAGTGGTAATACACCATCCACTGCCAAAAGGCAAGGAGCTGCTGCTGTGTAGCAATGCAGCCCCACGTCTGCCAGCACCCAGATAGCTGATGACGGCTACCAGTCATACTGCACGGTCTACTGCCAAAAGGCAATTAGCTGTTGCTGTGTAGCAATGCAGTACCACGTCCGCCGGCACCCAGATGACATATGGTGACGGTGAGCTGAGCGGGCTCCATGCTTGCCATGGTATGTTGTCTGCACAGGTAACCCAGGTAAAAAGGCGCAAATCGATTGTCTGCCGTTGCTCTGACGGAGGGGGAGGGGCCTGACAACATGTACCCAGAACCCCCCGCGACACTGTTTTTGCATCATCAGGCATTGGGATCTCAACCCAGAATTCCAATGGGCGGCGGAGACTGTGGGAACTGTGG